GGCGGCTCGCTGGGTCTGAGGGGCCGCTGCCCGCGGGAGGAGAAGCTCCCGGCAGGTAAAGGCAGGTGGGCGGCTGGGTCCCAACAAGCCTTGGGGACGGAGAAGGTGCTGCGTAGGTGAGACGTCAGGGGCAGCTAAGGGAGCACTTTGCGAGGGGCTGTGGGCCCGGCCTGCACCAGGAGTGTTACACAGGGGAGCCAAGGGTGGGCTTCTTTAGCAGCCCGGTCACCTCCGGTTTAACAGGTAACTAAACTGAGACCCTGAGAGGAGATCGGAGGGTTTCCGATTCCATTACTTGACTCAGGGAGTGGGCCTCGACTTCCTTTAGCCTTCCTCCCCTTTAAGTCTTCCCAAGATAAATCTCCCCACTAGGAAATAGTTAAGATCGTGGAGCACTAGGCAGCTGTAAAGAAGGATCGCGTGCCCTTTGGGACAGTATGGATGGACCTGGAGAGTATTATGCTGAGCGAAATAAGCCAGGCAGAGAAAGACAAACATCACATGATCTCACTTATATGTGGAATCTAAAGAACTTAATAAACTGGTGGACAGAAATGTTTCAATGACATGGAAGCATAGATGAGACTGAGGAATGTCAGAGGGATGGAGGGGGGCGGGGAGGGGTGGAGAGTAACCAAAGAATTTATATGCATATAGGCACAACCCAAGGACACGGACAATGGTGGGGAGAGGGACTGGGGTGGGAGGTGGGGCAGCCTTAATGGGGGAAAAAAGGGACATCTGGGATATTTTGAACAAAAAGGAAAAAAGAAAGGCTAACCAAATTAAAAAAAAAAAAAAAAAAAAATCCCTAGGCGGAAAGTTCACCAAGGAGAAATACGAATGATGAATAAACTCATGAAAAGAAAGTGGTTCCTCTTCAATAATCAAGAAGCTGCAGATTTAAGCCGATTTGTTTTCATACCCAGTGCGATGAGGTTCATACCTTTTCATCTAGCTCTTTCGCAGCTAGGGGTTTCTCCTAAAGAAACAGTTGAGGATGTGGGTGAATATTTTATACCTAAGGATTCATTCATTTATGTCTAAAGTTCATTGCTGCCTTTTCCGTAATTCCATAAAATTGGAAACAAATGCTCAATAGTAGCAGACAGGCTAGATACATAGGAGATTTTTAAATATTATTTTAAATGACGTGATATGCAGAACCATTGGATATGACTGGAGCAATACATTGAGAATGAGATTCCATTAATTTAAAAATCTAGTAGGAAAATGGTCCCAGGAAGGGAAGTTGAGAATAGGAGATAGAAATCCAGGTAGGATGGTAAAATTACTGTAGAAAACACACAAAAATGGAACAATATCAAAATAGTGTTATCTCCCAGAGCTTATTTCTAAGTGATTTTTATTTTATTCCATGTGCCCTTCTTGGTTTTACAAATTCTCTATAGTGAAAGATATTACCTTTATAAGTGGTACACTTAAAAATGTTTAAAATGGTAAATTTTATGTGTATTTTAATACAATAAAAGAAATCAATGGGCGGATGGTAAAATAGTCAAGGGAAACAGGTTGCATTTGCTTCAAAAAGTCAAAGGGATTTACTTTATTAATTCAACATATCTGTAGCTTTAAAGGAAAACAAATCTTCAAAGAATAAAATAAGTAATTTAATTGCATCATTAATATTAAGTGAAATAAGTTTACAAAGTTCTTTAAAAACCTTTAAAAACTTGACTGAGACTCCTTGTCCCTTGCCTATGTCAGTCTTATACATTCTCCCCCATTAACAGTTACACCCAATATGGTAATAAAAACACAAACTAAACACTTTCTACTTCACAGTAGTACCTAGACCAGCTTCATCCTGTATCCTGTATATTTAGGCTCTTCAGCCTCAGTACTGTTCAATATGCAATTACTCAAAACTACTATCTTGAAATAGGAAAAATAAGTTAGTGAAAATCAGGTGACTTAAATAAACTTTATGCAGGTATAATTTAATTGCTTCTCAAGTACTCATAAGGAATTCTTTTGTTAAATTTAAGACTGCTATATTTTGGAATTGATTATAAAGAGCTGTGAATCTTTTTTCCAAAGGTTAATCATTGGATAGATTTTCATTTGTCCAGAATAGTTTCTGTCAGCATGAAACATAGGCACAAAGCCTAAGGCCTGTGTGCTTTTTTAAAGCATCTATAAGCAATGTTTGAAAATTGAAAAAAATTGGCTCTAAAATATGAAGACAAAGGAAAAATTGATGTTAAATTAAATGTTTTACATTAATATTACATTTTGATTACACTTGAAAATAACTTTCTCATTTTGCAAGAATTTCCAGGTGCACAAACTGATTGCTGAGTGATTACAACTGCAAAATTTTAAAACAGTTTATGATGAAAAATTATATATAATGGGGGATGTGGGTATATTTTAACATTTTAATATATTGGATATAGTGTGAGGAAGTGCATCACAGAGTAAGCGTGTCCAGGCCATCACAGATCTTGAAATTTATGTGAACTGAAGTTAGGGACCTGGAGTAGATGTCTTTCAAAAGTTCCTATGAATTTCTAGGAACGTGTGGCTTTTTACCATTTGTGATAAATTCTGGTCAGTATTTCTAATGCTAGGAGTTGCTTTTCTCCCTTGACAAGCCATCTGAACTAACGCTGACATTGTAGATTCTCTCCAAGGATTTTCTACTTCTTAGGATTTCTCTTGAGACTGTGGTAATTTCCTTGAAACTAGAATCTACTACCAGAGATTACCTAATGCCAAACATCATCCTACACACTCTCACTGGAGAAAATCTGAAAGATGTTTAGGGTTATTCTAACAGTCACCAACATCTTGGAAAGTTTTCTGTACCTGGGTGGAGTTATATTTCTGTGGATATCAACTATGTCTACTATTCCTTTGATTTTTTCCACACAGGCGTGGACACATGAGGGCAGGTAGGAAAGGGTCTTGCAAGGACTAATCCTGATTTCCCAAGAATACATTTCTTTAGATTCTCAATTAGTTTTTATTGAGCTATGGATTACATCAGAGAAAATTTTGTTATTTGAGGGACATGACACAAATATTCGTATGGGGTTGGTTGATCTTGGATATAATTCACAAAATCATTACTCTCAGGAAAAGCAGAGTTAATTATTTTTATAAATGCTGAATGTCTACCATGTGCCAGACACTGTTCTAGATGCTTGGGATAGAACAATGCAAGAAAGCAGAGAAAAACCCCTCCCTTTGTGGCAAAACATTCTTGCAGATCTCAAAAGTAACTTGGACTTTGTCTCCCAAGCCCTATATGGTAAACTAAAAAGTAGAAGCTATGTCACTAATATATTCTCTTCCTTTCCAAACGAAGCCAGAACTAATGCCCAACAATCTTAGCAATCAGTTCCTTTAAAATCATGGTTTGGGCAGGGATGTGTAGGTAACATATTTGTACATCTGCAATAATTTCTACATGTATCGCATAGTCTCTTTTTAGGTAAAATTTAAAGGAAATAAACCTAGTAAGGACATAGGTAACTGAGAGATTTGTATATATATAATGTGTAAATGACACTTTAACCACTTATTGCATCTTTTTCCAGAATGGGTAAAAAGATAAAGAAGGAAGCTGAACCTCCTCCTAAGGATGTGGTAAGTCTGATTTGAATACTGTAGCACATTAACAACCAGTTTTAAAAATAAATTGTTCAAACAGTTTGGCATGTACTAGTATATATACATGAGTACACAGTGGCAGAAGTCCAAAGTCTGACTAATGATAAGATTAGTCAGAGGAATCTAACATTATATAAACAAACATTTACAACATTGTCATTACATAATTAGCACAATTAGAGAGTAATTATTAGCTTTTCCATTATGAGGATGGCATCTTTATAAGCCAAGTTAATGAATAAATACTTTTGGTTTTAAATACTTTACATTTGCCAGTTTCTACTTAGTGTTAATTATCTGAGTGAATTTTCACAATTAACTGGAAGTTATGCTATAGCTATTAGGTATGTATATAAGGCTTTCAGAAGATAACCCTTTGGGCATCAGAAGTACTGTGTTTTCCAGTTCTGTGGAGAGAGAAGTCTGGGTTCATTGTCATTTTCTATTTCAAATGCTAACGTGGTGCATTCCTTGTAACACAAAGCCCTTCTTCTCTCTGTTAAAATCATGTTTTTATCTTCTCTCTTCACATTTTTCAAATTACTGTAAGATGGTGTTTAAAATAGAAAATGACCTTAGACAATTTTTACTTTAGAAACTTATTTTGAAAGACACTTGGTGTGATTTTCTTCAAATGAAACATGAATGGAAAAAAATATGTATGTATAGTGAACTCAACAGGATTTTATAGTTTGAAGGAAACTGAGCTTAGTGCAGGTATCTCCCCACCAGCATTGGAGCATGGTGTTTGCAAATGCAAGCTTCGTTCCTGCTCTGCCTCTCACAAACTGTTTTTTTGTGTTTGTTTGTTTGTTTCTTTGTTTGTTTTATGAAGTTGCCAAATTTGGAGAAGTTATTTCAGTTTTTCTTCATTTCTTCAATGGGAATTGAAATGTCCAACTCATTTCAGTTGTTGTATGACTTAAAATGAAATAAAACATAAAGTCCTCATTGCCCAGCACAGAGTTAATACTCAGTAAATAAGATTTAAATCATGGGAATCCTTTAGATTCTGCTACACACAACACAAACACACACACCACTATGTAACTACTTATATATGATTTTTCAATACAGTTGGGAACAAAGGTTGTGGAAGCACCTATCTGCCCAGGTCTAAGAAAGCTTTGCAGAGATGGTCATTTTGCTATCCTGATGTATTTTTGTCAGTCTGGCTGTTCTCCTTTGAACATATTCTTAAAACATTACAAATTCTCTTTTCGTTGCATTATAGGTTTGCATTACCTCTCTTTTTGCTGCAAAAGAACATTATTGACACCTTATTACTAGAAAGTGGACTCATAAACGTAGTACTTGATGACAAACACTTTCTGATTAAGGGACTATTAATCAATGTATGTATTTGTCTAAGACACTTTCTGTAATTTTATTATGTCTTTCTAGAATTGTCCTCTGCATCATAATCCTTGGGGGGCTAGGGGGCCACAATCAAGACTTGTAAAACCAATCCAATCCTAGCTTTAGCAAAAATCTAGCTCTTGCGTTTTAAGTTCACAACAGCCTTGGGGGTAGCCAAAGGCATGTGTGACAATTACCAATGGTTCCTGACTACTGCTTTCCCAAGAGTCCTTCCATTTTTCTCCTTCTCTGACTTTATGCTAAAAAGTTGATAGAGTAATATTAAAATATCTAAACACTTTTCTACCTTATAAATTCTAATACTTTAAAACAGTACACTACAATTTAAGGTATCTGAACTTCGAATTTGTTCCAAGGCATACTTCTTCAAGGTCTATGCAAGGTTTGTTGTACAAGTTATAAATGAAAACAGATTTAAAAGAGGGATACATATAACTGCTTGAGAAAATAAACTTTTCTGTGTCAACAAATGGTAGTTTGGTTTTTAATATATTTCTAAAAACATTGTTTCCAAAGATCTTTATATTCTTTCCCCAATTTTTAAACTTTCTATTGAAGCATAATATATGTACAGAAAAGTGCACTAAAAGATGCAGTTCAATTAATTTTTACACAATGAACACACCATGTAACCAGCACCTAGATCAAAAAACAAAACATGACTAGTCTCCCAGAAATAGCCCCATGCCCGCCAAGGACTCTAACATCATGGAATAGTATGACCTGTATTTTAAACATATAAATGGAACCATAAAGTATACTTTCTTTTATCTGACTTCTGTTCAGTAGTGCATTTTTGAGGTTTATCTAAACTGTTGTGTATAATTATGATTTTTTTCTTGTTGCTGTAACATCTCATTGTGTACTTATTTATTCTAGCACTGATAGGCATTTTGAGTGGTTTCCCATTTGGAGAATTATAAATTGTGCAGCCATGAACATTCTAGTGCATGTGAAATATTTTTATCTTCATTAGTCTTTCATCTACTGGTTAGATGGGTAATAGGGACAGTGAGAAGAGGAGTATTTGGTGATAAAGTTAAAACAAAAATATCCCTTTGTTTTTCTTAACATTCTCCTTGTCAAAACATGCATTAATATGTGTATGTATGGTTTATTGATCTCCATTCCTTCTCATAAGAGGGAACACTAGATAAGAAGATGCCTGGATGTGGGAAGATATGGCTTGAACAACCAATATAACTATATTCTGCTTTCCCAAATTATTTCCATGTCTGGGTGAAAGGCTGTTTGTGATGCTATAATAAAAGGCAAACTTCTTGTGGAATGATTACATAAAAGAATTACTAACAGAAATGACCTTAGTAAGCAATATTTAGTATAAGACAAGATATTCAGCAACTAGGAGTAAGGCTCTGGAGTTAAATTGCCAGAGTCTTCACCCTCACTCCATCATCCACCATCCATGATCTGGGGCAAACTTCCTAACTTCTGTATACTCCAGTGAGGATGTAATGATATGCACTTCACAGAGCATCCAATTAATATCAACTCATAGAGATGAGGCAAGTTTAGATCAATGTAAGATGCTTAGAACAGTGCCTGGCACTACTTAAGGACTTAGTAAATGCTGTTATTATTAATGACATAGTTGAGGGTACTGCTCATCATTCTACAGAACTGTAGAAGTCTGAACTGTCAAAGGAGGCAGGTAATCAGCTGTGGAAGACCATCTGGCCGCTAAAGTTCCTGGAGGCCTGGTGTGTGACCGGCATGATTCATGGCCAGGTCTTTGAGTTTATGAGCATGGAAATTTTATTCTCTTAATATTTCAGAGGCAATTGAGTTTCAGTGGATAAATCACAGTATCTAAACTTGTAAGAGAACATGACCTGGCTCTGGAATATCAATGATTAAGTATCAACTGACCATTTATTTAAATGGGTCAGCACATTCTCTCCCTAGTTAAGTGCTTATGGGAAGCTAAGCTTGGTGAGTATTGAATCAGAGCAACATATAATAGAAATACTTGCTCCCTCACTTTCGCAATCAAACCCAGTTCTTTGGAAGACTGGATGTCTCCTGGGGCTTGTTTTCCCTGAACCTTCTTTCTCAACCTCAGATCTCAACCTTTAACTCTTTGTCAGAGACTGACAAAACTGCCACAGATTTTTTTCTAGAAATGAAGCATCATAGGGGCTTATTTTCCCATCTTTCTCCCTCATCACAGATAAACAAATCACCATGAATAAGAAATATAGTATACATTCACAAATAATACACATATGAAACTGTATAACTAATTATCAGCTTTCTCACCTTGCTCTAAATGTTTATTACCTTGAATCATGTAAAGCAAACTAGAGGCCAAACAAACTAGCTGTTTTCATTTTAACCTTTATACTTTTTAGCAGATTTAAAATATATGTAGTCTCTATTAAAAGTTCATACTAAAGTGGTGCAGTCTACTTCCTTCTGTATCTGTCTCTCTTTTCCTGTGTAATTGGTTCTACATGATCCAAGACCAGTGATGTGGTGAACACTTTCCAATGGAAATCAAGAGGCCTAAGAGATTCCAAGATGGCAGCAGATTGAGTGAAAGCTATACTGACACTCCTAGGACCAAACTAGAATTACAACTAAAATATAGAAAAACCATCCTGAATAATCAACTGAAGACTAGCCAGAGAGCATCCTCATAACCAAGGACTTAAAGTGAAGACCACATAGAGACTGGTAGGAAGTAGGGAGGTGTGAGAGGGCTGGCTGTGCTCCCACAGGCAGAAGCTGAAGGTCCAGAGGGATAGCTCAGCTGTGGGAGGTTCTCAATGAGAACTCTGGGGCCTAAACCCCAAGCTGGGCTTCCTAGCCCAGAGCACCAGAACTGAGAAAAGTGCCCACAGAACATCTGACTGTGAAAAGCCGTGGGGTTTCTAAGTGCCAGGAAGAGACAGCTGGAAATGCAGGCATCCTCTTAAACGGCCAATGCACAAAGTTTCATGTGCATCCACTCACCTTGGGCTCCAGCGGAGGGAAGGCAGAGTGGACTAGAGCTGTGTGAGAAGAATTGAGGGGTGCTGGCTCTGGGACCAGAGCTCAGGGGGCAGCCATCTGGATTCCTGTGCTGAGTCATTTCTCCATATAGCAGAGGACATCTTTCTCAGGCAGACATTTATCTTCCAAGCAGCTTTTGCCTGGGGCAGAAGCAATTGAGCGACCCTGTTGGAAAACCTCTCACCCCACCCTGTGGAATTTCTACAGCCTGAGGCTCATTAAGAGACTGAATAACAATCAGCTTCTGGGTGCTTTGAGTCTTTGCCTGGTTTGCTTCTGGACCCAGGGCTTGGAAGAGCAGACCTTGGTGCACATCTTGGTCCTTTCCAAATGCACCCAGACCCAGCAGAAGGAGCCACAAGCTGTGGAGTGTGGAAAGCTTCAAAGAGGGTTCTCAAGGCCAGTCACAAACAGTGTGTGACATTAGCCTGTACCAGAGATCATCCAAAAGACTGAGAGTCCTAGCAGATCTACCTAATACATAGAAACAAATCCAAATAGGCACCCAAAATGGGGAGACAAAAAAAGAAGCCCCAAATGAAAAAACAAGAGAGATCTCCAGAAGAAGAGCTAAATGAAAT